GTGTGTGTGTGTGTGTGTGTGTGTGTGTGTGTGCGTGCGCGTGTGTGGGGGGGGGGGGTACGTATGTGTGTGCGCGCGCGTGTGTTGGCTGTTCAACTAAATAAAAAATTACTGTGGGATGTAGACAACGAAGATGTAAAAATGCACCACCAACAGAATCTGTCTCTACAAAACTTCTTTATGCCATCTCGAATATGTATTAACACCGACAACGACGATGACGATGACGACAGCGATTGCTCGACAGCGACACCGACGACGACGATGACGATAACGACAGCGATTTGCTCGACAGCGACAGCGACACCGACGAAGACGATGACGATAACGACAGCGATTGCTCGACAACGACAGCGACACCGACGACGACGATGACGATAACGACAGCGATTGCTCGACAACGACAGCGACACCGACAATGACGATGACGATAACGACAGCGATTGCTCGACAGCGACAGCGACAGCGACAGCGCGTTGAAACGCTAACTTTGTGAACATCTAAAATTCAACCTCAAAACCGCAACCGTAACGATGGCTATATCACTACACATGTGATATTACTTTCTTGGACTAAATCAAGCAATTATACTATTTTCAGTGTCTATGATACGATAACCAGTAATGCACCGAAGATTTGTGACAACTTTACATAGATTTCCATCACCATAGGAGCCACTTCTCATCATGTCTATGATGGCTGGCTACACGCGAGACTGACAAAACGAACTTTGCGTGTGCCGCCGTGTTTGGCCGCGCTCTCTAAAATTTCGTAACTAAACAGAACACTGGCAGCTATACTAACTTTTATTTCAAAAACAATAATGAACGTAATAGAGCCTGTAATCTGTGACTCCCGACTGGGCCGGCGTTTAATAACATGACACCGTCATCCAAACAAACACACTACAGTAGCTAATACCAGAATCACATATTATACACTCTGCTATACATGTCCATATAGCATAAGAAGATATAATCATATACGAATATATAAAACCCTTAATTATTTGAATACAATATTCTATTGTGCTGGGCATAAACATATACGTACTTACAAACGTACATACGTGGGTACCTGGGTTTATATTTGGGAGGGGGGGGCGTTGATACATCATCTAATCATACTGCTACCGGGATAGATCAGGGCTCGCCCTCACAATCCCGTCCGGATAGCATAACAGGGAGACTAGACAGCTATGTTCCCTGTGTAAAACTAATCCAAGCCTAGTACCATCAACAGACGCTTAAAAACACGTAAGTACATACAAAAGATGTCATAACCACGGACGGATGGTAATTATCTAACAACTTGGCAACGTCTTGCCTTGTACCTCCGTCGCATTTGTCTCACTGCTGCCATCGTCCCCATCGTCGCCACTGTTGTCGTCACTACCGTCACAATCGTCACTACCATCGTCATCATCATCAGCATCATCATCATCGTCATCGTCGTCGTCGTCATCATCATCATCAACAACAACAACAGCAGTAGCAGCAATAAAATCAGCGACATGCTCGTCATTATCAACAACAACAACAACAACAACAACAACAACATCGTCATTATCGTCATCATCGTCATCATTGTCATTATCATCATCATCAACAACAACAGCATTAGCAGCAATAGAATCAGCAATATGCTCGTCATTATCATCAACAACAACATCGTCATCATTGTCATTATCGTCGTCGCCTTGGTCAACTTAATAATCGAATGCAATCATTGTAATTTCTCTATTACTATTCCCATTGTTATTATTACCATTTTGATTATATCTATATAATATCAGGAGTTAATAAAGATAAATTTGGTCTTCATTAACTCCTGATAATATCAAGACAGGAGTGGGTATAGGAGTAAGAAATAGCCTAATAATGTTTCCGGATAGAATCACACTAGCCTATATATTAATATCATTTGCGGTATGTTTATGATTATATTAGTTGTTGTCCTTTCTACCGCAATCAGTACTGATTATCTGTTAACATGATAAACGCTCTCTTATTCTTCGGCTCAGTACAGTAGACTAGGTAGTGTTGATCTGTTAGGCTACTGTCTCTCCTTCTTTTCTTGTCCCCTCGGCTTGGATCATTGAGAATATACTTATCGGTTGTGTGTCTGAGCTTCTCACCATCATCACGGTTGTCATCAGCATCACCATCGTCAACGTTAACATGGGTTGACGTTGCATTTGTTATGTATGAAGTCACATACTTTCGGGCAAATATAACCAGAAGCTTCTCGCTTGCGTCTGTCCGGCACGGCCCACCCGCAAGAGCATTGGAAAAGCTCTGCTATGTAATCTGCGACGCTGCAAACACGATGCAGGATTCCTCCACCTGCTGGTGTCCGCTTCACTCTTGCGTCCATCTTGTTGTCGTCTGCTGGCGCAGCCGAGGTCACTGCGACCAGTACTAGTGTCGCCACCTATGAATCACAGGAAGAAATCGACAAGCATACTCTATACACTACAACCATGTACCATGTACCATGTACCATGTACCATGTACCATGTGTGTGTGTTTGTATGTTGTATACTAGATTCACTCTACTCGCTAAAACCAGATGATAGTTAACGTATCTCTCTGCTCATCGCTATCAGACAATATTTATGAAGAAACTGTAATTATCTTTATTTCTCGCGCGCGAGCGCCTCATACAGCATTGTTCAATCGCTGTAACGTAAGAGCTAGTGGAAGAGAGTTGTAAATGTTGACGGAGTATATCAAATCCTAACCATTATATTTCACAAACAATTCTCCGTTATTCAACAAAGACACGGGAATGTTTCTACATAATGTAGGCAAACCGATATATAAAATTGCAATTTCTAAAGGTTACAATACATAAAAAGGAAATTTCTTGTATTTCAACCTTGTTTCCCGAACAACAAGAAATCACAGATCTCTACCGCCCTGCTTTCACGGGTCTTTCCTACTACAGTGCCTAGTTATATTTCATATACTATTACACTGTTTACAGAGTACATGAAGTTTTTACGAAAGCTTTGCAACGAGAATCTATCGCCATGATTAGAATATACGAATTCCTACCAGCATTATGGTGACCATGGTTCCTTTCATTTTCATTGTTTGAAATTGTTTTTTTTATCAATTTCTCCGTTGCCTTGGTTGCTTGCAGGTTTTTAAATTTACCTGAAACGCAAAATGTACGGTTTACATCGTGAGTTGTGTTTGTACGTTGTCATTAGGAATTCAACGAATCTTTACGTAATCTCCTTATATATTTATCACGAGACTATAAGTCCTATATAAAGGTCTTATAGATAATAAGTTCTAAAAGCGATTACAGCTTACCTTGTGAATTACCAAGCTCGCTCGTTCACAGGTTGCGCTTAACAAGCACACAGCAATCTTAACGGCAACGTTCTTGAAATGACAGCTGTCCAAGAGTAGCTGGCTATTTGTGGTCGCATGTAGGACAGTATGTTGTCAATCAATCAACAGGCACGTACACAATATACCAGTACCCCAAAAATATAGGTCGTGTTTCGTTGTTGCTGTGCTGATTAGTAGGTATAGGTATTCAGCTGTTATACGACTAAAAATCGGGCAATGAGCCATAGCGCTATATACGGTGTTCAGACATCCTGGACTAGTGGGCCATGCGCGCGAGCAGCGCGCGTGTGTGTGTGTGTTGTGTGTGTGTGGGTGTGTGTGTGTGTTGTGGTGGTGTGGTGTGTGTGTGTGTGTGTGGGTTGTGAGTGTGTGTGTGTGGTGTGTGTGTTGGCTGTGTGTGGTGTGTGTGGTGTGTCGTGGTGTGTGTGTGTGTGTGTGGTGTGTGTGTGGTGTGTGTGTGTGTGTGTGGTGTGTGTGTTGCTGTGGTGTGTGTGGGTGTGTGGTGTGTGTGTGTGTGGGGGGGGTGTGGTGGTGTGTGTGTGTGGTGTGTGTGTTGGTGTGTGTGGTGTGGTGTGTGTGTGGTGTGTTTGTGTGTGTGGTTGGTGTGTGGTGTGTGTGTGTGTGTGTTGGTGTGTGTGGTGTGTTGTGTTAGGTGGTGTTGTCTTAGTGGTGATGTGGTGTGCTTATGTGATATGGTGTGTAGAGAATGGTGGTGTGATGGTGTGTGGTGTGTGTGTGGTGTGTCTGAAGCTATTGTGTAGTGTGTGGTGTGTGTATGTGTTGTGGTGTGGGCAGTAATATGTGGTATGTGTGGGTTGTGTGTGGTGTGTCTGCGTGTGCGGTGCGTGTGCGGGCGGAAGATACGTGCTATAGGTGCGTGGTCGTGGTGCGTGCGCGTGCCGGCGGTGGTCAGCGTGGCGCGTGGCACGGTCGACGTCTGCGTGCTGAGCGTGCGTGCGTGCGTGCGTGCGTGCGTGCGTTAAACTGAAAAGTGAGTATGTATAGTGTAAATAATTGGAGCCAGTAACAGCGCGGCGGGGTCGTCGCTGTTTGTTATTCGCGCGCAAACTTCGTACTGTCTGAGCGTGCATAAACACAGCAGCATCAGCAGTAGCGCCCGCCATAAGAACTAAAGAATGCTGCGGCGGAAGTGTGATGTGTCACCATCGCACAATCGCTCACAGGTTGAGAGGCACGCGCGTATATGCTGCTAAGCGTAGGTACATTGACGGCTCTATACCGCCACAAGCACCAAAGCTACTACGAACGCACGGCAACGCACGCCACGCACGGCACGCTACGCAGACGCACGACACGCACACACAACTACACACCACCACACACACACACCACACACACACAAGTAGTAATGGCTAAATAGTAGGCAGTTAGTAATGGCATAGTAATAGGCACCCCAGGAAAAACAGCAACAATTCCGTTCTGTCGTTGTCTGCCAGCTAAGCGCACAATCTTTTCTCTCTTCTTCATCCTCTCGTCTCTCGTCTCCCTCTCATCCCCCTCAGATTCTCTGTCTCTCCTCTCCATCTCTCTCTCGCGTCTCTCATTCTACTCTCTCTCATCTCTTCTCTCATCTCATGCTCTACCAAGAACTAAAACCACCGTACCGGCTCAAGTCAGACACAGTCTCATCTCTCTCCCTCAGATCTCCCTCTCTCTCTCCATCTCTCGCTCTCTCTCTCTCACCCTCTCTCCTCTCTGATCCTCTCCTGCTCCTGCCCCTCCACACCTCTCAATCCGCTCTCCGCTCTCTCTCTTTCTCCAGCGATCAGGCCCGCGTCGTCGTCCTCTTTTTTCGGTCCGAGCGTCTGTCGTCTCCTCTCTCTCTCTCTCGCTCCTCTTTCTCTCTCCTCTCTCCCTCTTCTCACGCCACAGTTGACCACGGCCACGGTGGCCCTGCGTCAAGCGTGACTCTAGCAGGCGGCGAGGAGGGGGAGGGGGAGGGAGCAGGCTGTAGAGGTAGAGGCGAAGACAAGTTACAGGGCAGTGCTTAATGGGTTATTAATGGGCAGGTTGTGTTGGGATGGCCCGATAAGGCATCATGAGGGCGTGTAAGCAGTAACCAGGATCAGCAGCATCCACTGCCCTGCAGGCCCTGTCCTTTCCGCAGAAGGTGGTTGCAGCTGTGACAGAGAGAAAAATATACCTAACTAGATGTGAACACGATAAGGAGGCTAAAAACTAGAAGCGAAACGAAAAGATAAGAGAGGAGAGAAAAAATATGAGAAGAGTGGAAACGAAAATGATTAAAGAGAAGAAACGAGCATTGATGATTATCTGGACTTCGCAGAGAGAGAGAGAAAGAGACAGAAAGAGAGACACAGAGAGAGAGAGAAAGAGACAGAAAGAGAATGGGAGAGAGAGAGAGACAGAAAGAGAATGGGAGAGAGAGAGAGAGACAGAAATAGAGATAGAGAGGGGGTAGTGACACTAACAGGATAGAGATAATGTTTTGTTAGAAGGTAAAGAATGAGTGAAAGCAGTAGTAACGGAAAAAGAAAATGAAGAAGAAGAAGGAAAATATGAAGAAGCAGAAAGACGCGAGGAACATTATCATGATGATAGAATAAGAAGGAGTAAAACACACCCTGCTAGATAGAGTAGGCTGTTTGTTATATTCCAGCTATTATTGCATGAACTCTGCTATGAGAGACTGTGATTTAGCAGGTCTGTCAGCTAACACTCACACTATAGCTGTTACATGTGACAGCACGTTAGTGGAAGGCAAACCACAGCTTGTTAGCTAACAGAAGTGACGGTAAACACAGACATACGAGTAAACCAATACAACGAGCCGTAGTCCTGTTATCATCATCATCATTATCAGCAGCAGCAGCAGCAGCAGCAGCAGTAGCAGCAGTAGCAGTAGCAGCAGTAGCAGCAGCAGCAGTGTTAGTAGCAGCAGCAGCAACAACAACAACAACTTCATTATCATCATCATCAGCAGTAGCAGCAGCAGCAGCAGTAGTAGCAGCAGCAGTAACAATCACAGTAGCAGTAGCAGCAGCAGTAGCAGCAGCAGTAGCAGCGGCAGCAGCGGCAGCAGCAGTAGCAGCAGCAGTAACAGCGGCAGCAACAGGTTTCACGGATTCCTTACTGCTTCACTGCATCCCTTTGTAGGGAATAGCTTTGTATTGTGGGGTTTCTCATATATAATATAAGGAGCACATCATTAAGGCAGCAGCTATAGCTATTGCGCGTGTATGGCAGCAGCTATGAATGGAAGCATAGTACTTGTTTGTTGTCTTAGCTGCCAAAGTCCGCACCCCCAGCCGCGTTGGTAGTTGTTGCGTGGTTACCGTTTCCATGGCAACTCGCCCGCGGATCCGTGCGGCGCGTATTCCATAGCATCTTGTCCGCATCTGTGCGTTGATCGGAATGCCGTGGTACCTGGTGGGAAGCTGAGGAGTGATGCTGCAGGCATCCCCCGCCGCCGCCGCATTCTGGTTTCAAACCGGATTAATAAATCTGCATGAAGGTGTACAGCACTCACGCACGCATGCGCACGTATCACACTTTTATACATACATATACATATATATATATAATAATATATAATATATATATATAACAAGTATATATATATATATATATATAACTATAATAATATAGGTATAATTCATAGAGAGAGAGAGAGTGAGAGCGAGAGAAAGGCGAGAAGAGATATATATATTATAGGAGAGAAGAGAGAGAGTAGAGATGAGAGCAGAGAGTGAGAGAGAGTGAGAGAGAGAGAGACAGTGAGAGAGTGAGACACCACGAGTTACATCACGAGTTACAGTGTGTAAATGCCATCCAATATATATATTATTATATAAAATATATATTTATATTTATATATTTATTTATTGATATGTAATACGTAATGGAATATTATTTGGATTAGTAAGTATAAACCTCACCACAGAGGCGTCATGCCATCTAGCATATATGACGTACTCTCCGCTTATTAAAACCTCTCGCCTTTCACACGTTTAAAATTTAAAAGTTCATAAACTTGAAGCTCGTGTCGGGCAATCAGTGAGTCATTCATAATGCTTGACATGTACTAGCTGTACATTGATGGATGCTATATGGCTATATATATATATATATATATATATATATATATATATATATATATNGAGAGAGGAGGGAGGGAGGAGGAGAGGGAGAGGGAGAGAGAGAGAGAGAGGAGGAGAGAGAAAGGGGGAGAGGTGGCGAGGGGGAGGGGAAAGACGTACACAATGATGGGCACACAGGAGGAACCTGGACACACGCCCAGGATCTGTGAGCTAAGAGAGAGGGAGAGAGATGAGAGGACAGGGGAGGCGAGAGGAAGAGGTAGAGATGAACAGGGCACCAAGATAGAGGGATAGAGTGGCAACAAGGAAAGAAAGAGAGAGAGACATAATGATGATGATGACGCTGACGACGCTGACGATGACAATGATAATAATGATGATGATGATGATGTTGTTGATGGTGATGGTGATGACGATGACGATGATAACGATAACGGTGACGATTACGCTGACGATGATGACAGGTAAGTGTGCAGGACTCTCACAATGTTTTAGTGTGCTAACCGGATTTTCGGTGCTACCGAATGAAGCCTTGCTCTTACAAACAAATTCACACAATCTCTTGGTGCGTAGCAACGACAGCAGATCAGCTGAAAACACCATCACGAATTTATCACGAAATCAAATTACTTCAGGGGATAAAATCTATCATTATGTATAGATGATGTTAGGGCTGTTATCCAATGTATGTATTATAATCTATACATTATTTATTATATATATACATGTATATATATTTATATAATCTATTGTTATATACAGTATATTCCAATACCTGTATGGTGTATGTCTATATACATTGTTGTATATATTACCTGGTTAACCCTTTCCGAGAGAGAGAGAGATAGAGATAGAGAGAGAGAGAGAGAGAGAGAGA